GCCACGGAACCAGATGTTTCAAATGAAGATATAATGTAAATGGTTTGTTTACATGAAGCCCATTTTGTTCGAAACTGTGCACGGAAACGTCTCTGTGTCTCTACAAAACTTCTCGTTTCTTTATAAATTATTTTAACGTTCACCTTCTGTTCAACACTCAATCTGCACTTATTGTGCTTATGATCAAAAAATATTCAATAGTAACTTCTCGCGACATCTACGGAATTTTCCAATAACAAAGGTACGCGAATACGAATTTTTAACCTTTCTACTCTAGTTGTACATGTGTAATGAAAAAAAGAACAGAGATGCAATTTCGCGCACCACCCTGTACATATACGAATTTGTCGGCATGCCTACTAAAACTGTCTTTAGCTACTGCCTCAGAAGTTTGATGACATAAGACGTAATTCACTTTGCATGTCATTAGCATCTTACCTCATTTTCGAAACAATAAATATTAAGGCTTTTCTTATCATTCAGGTTGCCAAGTTAGGTATCAACAATTTCAAATGCAAGGGATATTGCTTGCTAAGAGAAAAGCGTGTCAAAATCATTTTTTGTAAGCTTGATATTTTGATGACAATATAAGAACTGTAATCCAGTAAAAGAAATTGGGCCGCTCTAAAAGGAATATCCGTGACGATTGGCAAAACTCCATCCGGCATATACTAAAAAAGAATAATTTTCCCGATGAGCAAAACCTACTCGAGACCCACTCCCTGCGGACAGGGCAATCAAATGCGTGTACAAATTTAGTTGAAGGGACTGCAAACACATATACCTACGCCAAACCCTACTAAGGTAGCATAACACCAATGGCGCGTAGCACGGCCGCCGGGAAAAGAGCTTGAATAAAAGCTCTACTATGGGATGCGGCAACAGCGATGTGCATAATAAATACATGTATTGATATTGACTTAGATAAAGAAGAGAACGTGAGGGGGAATTACGATGAACGCCTCTAATGTTGATTGCTGCGACAGTTGAGATTACGAAGTTTAACAGCTGCGCCAACTAGGTGGTGTCATTAGACGTGTGGCTGACTCTATTAACCCGGCCAGTCTGAAGAGCGTCGGCGGATGGTTCCATGGCAGACAGCTAACATCAAAGCACTCTTACCCCATCATTAGTAGGGAATTTTATGTGAAGAAATCGTATATTTAAGCGCATGAGATTTCCACTCTGTAATGTACCTCTGTAAACGACATTGATCAGCAGAATGATTTCCCTCCTAATTTCGACCAGTCTCCACGACTATCATCCAAAGCCTCCGTAAATGCTATATTAACAACCCGCAGGTTCTTTTGACCTGACGAAACTTTGTGTCACAAGCGAAGCGTCTCCAAGCAAAAATAGCAAACACATTTTCCGACACATCCGAACTATTATCCCCCAAATAAGTTGGAACGTACACAGATGTTAATGACTATATATATTCACAAGTGCAACTATTCCTTCCAAAAGCCAGTGCAGATGCTTCGTGGTTTATTTACGAAAAGCTTCACCCATTTAATTGTAGCGAACGTTGCAGCTAGCTAGTTAACCTCCGCTTCTGGATTCAGAGGTACTGAGTGTGGGCATTTGCGAATTCTACAAAATTTCAAGCTCAAGTTGAAGTTCGGGTGGGACTGAAACGATAGGAGAATCTCGTGAGTGTTCCATCCTGAGTGGATCGGTGAGACAAGAATTGATGAAGTGTTCGGAGTTCTTCATGGATCTAAAAGGGAACACCCGTATCACACTCTGGCCAACCAGTTAATGCGCACGTTTCCTGCCCTAGCAGTGGCCGCTGTGGCAGTCACGTGAAGTAAGCAAGATATATGAGAAAGCGAAGGTACAAACTAAGCAAGTTCTTTCGAAATAAGAAAATAATACCAATGCGTGAAGCAAAGTAGAGAAAAGAAAGTCGTAGTATGAAGCTGAGAGTTATTCGGGAAAATATTGAAATGTTTCGTGCTGCCACCCAAGAGCGTCAAGTTGCCATTCAAACCCTTTAACCGTAGATTCCTTGATAACAATTTCCGGAAGCATGTTAGACGTTGGATGGCTCTTTATGACAGGAACATTTTGCCCTAATTTAATCGGACCGCGGTTTGTCCGGCTTTAAGGAATGATCGCGTACAATAGATAATCTAGCAGGACTGAATAGCCAAGATAAATCTAGACCAACCTTCGCAGTTAAGATACGGTAGGTTAGAATTGGGTCTCCTCTAAGTTTCTCCTTGAATGCACTCACTCATTCCCATACTAAGTGGACCCTCAGTTACGTCCATTCCCGTAATCTCTCAACTAACCTAATACCCACTCGTAAAACCCATTCTAGCTCCAGTTTGTCCAAAACGAGGAGGGCGAACAAGTATGGACGCAGTATCACAGATGAGGTGGAACGAAAGCCGAGAACAGTCTCGCGAAGATGCTACCCGTCATGCTACGTAGATTATTTATAGTAAATTCAAAGCTATGTCTGTCTATCAGCTGCCTGCGTTTAATGAGTTGGAAATACAAAGTTTGTGCTTTGGTTACTCAATTAATCCTGCTGCATATGCACCGAAGGGAAAAGCCGAAAATAAACACACACCTTGTCGGACGACCAATGTCAGCTTAAAGTCCGGATTAGTGAACGTTTTAAGGTTGTTTTCACAATTTCTAATACCATTATGTTTAGTGCACAAGTTGAGCCAACATTTTATGAGTAAATATATATCTAGAAAGTTATAAAAATCAGGGAACAGCTGGTTGCTGGAAATGCTAATGGGATTGCGAAACTCATAATTACACCCAATTAGGCTGAGAAAACTTACAACGAACATTTGGTTTCAACACGCTCTTATGGATCAAGATTTCAGTATGCTACATCTACAGAGACGACTTGCGTTACCTATTTCTTATCATACTCCTTTATTAGACATGCAGTCAAATTTGCCCCCTTCCCGCAAGGAAACATGGACTCTATCAAAGTTACGAATGACTATCTGATAAATCCTGAAACACTCTATGCTTATTTTTTGTCACTGTTAGTAATTTTCGCTTTATATATGTATGTACATGTTAATTACAGCAAGTAACTTAGTTGATTCTGCATATTTTCCCGCACCATGTTTCTGTAGTGTTGATTCTTTTAACTTCATTTTCCAGCAATTTCACTTTGCATTTTGATATTTTAAGTTTTTCTCTATACCCATTTCGTATATCACGATCTGTCATTAGTATTACTTAATATGCCAAAGTTTACAATTAGCAAAATGGTTAAGCCAACATCTGATGCATTATTCCGGTATTTGAGAGTATCTCAACTTGTTACTTTATTATAATTCCCTGAGATAGTTGAGCTCAGATATTCTTGCTCAGATTAGTGCCCGATTAAGGTATCTAACTCAACATCTCCAAGCCCTTATTTTACGTATCCTACATATAGTGGGTTTTCAGGCTCCCGTATTATAGCTTTTGGCTAATTTCTATACTTTTGCTTGGGAATAGCGTACATCTCAGATAGTGCGCTAGCATATTGTCTCCACACTTTTTTCTGCGCAGCATACGTTGTTACTATGAGTCTTAAAGGATGGATTATGATGTCTAATCATGCATGCGTATTTCCATATATAATTGAAGCATAAGAATACAAATGTGGGTCTATGAATGGAAGGGAAATACGCATTTGTTAAAGCAATGAAACTACCCAGATTTACTAAGTCAATTGTATCAAGCGATAAGGACGCATGTATGTGTTTAATATCCATCCAAAATCTGATTGTATACAGCTCGCAGACAGCAAAAAATTTGTTTGGTCATTATATGGATTTGGTGTTGCATAAGTAATTTAAAGCAGTTCGTGTGATGAATTAACCAGGTCAGGTCAAGCTAATGTTAGATTTTCTGTTTAGGGAAATGATATGGTTATGGTTTCGCAATTCGCTGCAGCCAACTTAACTCAGCATTTGTGTTAACCTTTATACATGTCCACAAATGGTATGTTCCATTTCTTACTTAAAATGCTAATAGTTTGTAGTGAAAAACTTAGTAACAACTATATGCTACCAGCACGGATGTGCCACCTGAGATTTATCCTGTTACGCAGCGTGTTAATTAGATTACTTGCTTTCATGTGGGTTCTACACATTCCTATATATACCGGCACGTTTCAATATAAATTCCTACACAGGAGCACCGAGATGCCATCCATAGCTTTTCGTTAGTTGTAATGTTTCGTTGAAGTCATGTTTAATAATCCTTTCACTATGCAGTGTGCGACGTACTGCACGCATAAACCACATATGATGTTTATGAGTTCCTTTGAGCGCCAAATAGTATAGAGACTGGTTACTCCAGTATATCCATTTGCCTTTGCCTGCAGCAGTCATATAACTTTTCGATGTAACATTACTGCAATCCATCCGTTGTTAACCTATCTTAAGCGATTTTCGCGTCAAAACACAAACTTTTTGCTGGCTAAATCGATGAACAAATTACCTCATTTGAGCTATATTGTTATATTATCGCGGAGAAATTGTTATCGATGCATCACGTCCCGGTAATGCCAAGGAATGTTCTGATTCCGTCACGGCCAGATTGCTCAAGCTAGATTCAGCTCAGCGTTTAACAAATTAGTGATTGTGGTTGCATATATCAATCATTTTGCAAATGGAGTGCTGAATTGATTCATATTACTTTAAATCTATTTTTTACAAACTTCTGCTAATTTTAGTTTGCATGGCCCACTCAAATGGTAATGAATACCACTATGTTTCGCCGGTTGTGTTAGCGTTCATAACATTATATTTCTAAGACCTAGCTCATTTGTATAAGACGGTTTAATTAGGTCAACAGTTGAGAAACATCGAAGTGTGAGCTGCAACTGCCTGACAATTTAGGTGCAATTTGCAGCAAAACGCAAGTACTTAATCTTCTTACATCATCAAGCGCAAATATTGACGTCGCATGAAAACCTGTCAACGAACCAAGCCATGAAAAATGATCAGCTTGCATTCTATCACGCTTACTTCTCCAGGTCACCTTGGTTTGACACACGGTAGACTGAAATGATAATACGCCGGCAATGCTTTATTTTGTACAAATCCAAGGTAACAGTTTTGTTGAACACTGGGTTGCAAGTGTTCTCAACGACCGGGGTTTTCTGAGCAAATAAGTGATTTTTGTCTGGCATTAGTTCGATCTGGAGAATAAAGGAAAGTACGACGAGACAAGAATAGCTGCAGGTGAGAAAGCAGTGGTATCTTAGAATTCGGTTGCATATGTTTGACTGTGTATAATCGTTTGACCATTTTTGTGGCTGTAAACTTCGCTTGCATGATTACTGAAACAATTCGTTTCTTTTGGCTAATTATGATAGCACTTGTCTGACTCACGTGCCACATGGAAAAATGAAACATCGCTGTGAACATTTTTATAGAAGGAGTAATTTACATTGCCGCACAAATATGTACAAAAATAAACGGATATTGATTGTTCCGCGGTTCATTTTAGATATCTTCTGTCTGTTGGCAGGCAAAAGACTCAAAGTACCCCGTCTATTGCGACAGTTGTCAGTCGCTATCGCGACACTAATTCCACAAATTCAACGAACTTATTTTGTGATACCTTTCAGCCTGCTTGTACAAAACCCAAAACTTTTAAGGGCAAAAGACTTTGAGACTGCGTTTGGACAACGAGCGGTTTTCTGTCATATGGTGTCAAATGTTCTACAGGAGAAAGTGGTTTAGTGGTTTGTTCGCTTTTCGCATTGGATACTGTTTCAAAGTAAAACTGTTAGTTTTGTTACTTTCCGTATCCCGAAAAATGAAAAGTATACCCTGTTTACAAAACTCTCCAAATCATCCTGGTTATACAACAGGCACAGGTACTAATTCGCATCAACGTTTGTCCATAACTCAGTAAATGCAGTTACTCCTAATAGTAGAGTCAAATAAAATAATGGATAGCATGTATACTTTGTTTTAAATTCTTCTCGCTTGCGATACTGAATAGTACAATAGTATGGGTAATGTGTAGTGGGATTATAATATAGTTGTTTATAGCTAGTAACCGAATACAAAATTATGATGGCTGTAACTATTTGTTTAGCTTTTGATAGGTTCTAAAACTCCCTAGTACTGGTAGTAAAAAGTCCCAATCACCTGTTGAAAAACGCTAAACTCAGGTGACGTACACATCTGGATAACCAAGGCTGTGTTGTATTCGAATTTGAGTTTACATTGACTAAAGGTCCTAGTAGGGATTAGGTCAATGGACGCAGTTAATCTTTGTACCAAAAACTAAACCATTATCGTGTGATTCCATTATCTTACCGATAGCGGAGTATAGCTTACCTATTTTGATTCATGAAATGTCCGTAAATATCTAAGTAGTTTAGACCAGCTAATCTGTGGGTTTCTGCTGGTGATGTGCACTGGTTAAGTTGCGTTTCCATCGTCGTTAAAGTGAACTGCACCGCAGTTGAACAAATGTTTAATGAATAACATGGTTCAAACCTTTACACCGACAGTGAAAGCATACCCGCCAAAGAAAAATGATGACCGGTCTTCGTTACTAGGTAAAATTTAGAACAACATAGTGTTTATTTAATGGTTCGGAGAATGAGATGCTTATACCAATTGATCCTTTCTTTACATAGCCCAACTTGCTAGATAAAATGCTTAAACACATGCAAATACTTGGTTTGCTGCAGTTGACAGATAAACTGTTAGTATGATTGGTGTGGATGACGTCTTAGCAGGGAGCATTCGTTTAACCTGAATTGAAAAGATTTCCATGTTAAACTACAAAGTATGCATCGCTTTTACTGGATAGGAAGAAAATCCTGTGGAATTGTCTAATTTGTCACCTGGTGGGTAGCATACTTAGTGAGCAATACGTGGTTGAATGTTGACACTTAGCACGTTGAAAAATACGCCGGTTGATGCATAGTGAAGGCTAACTAAATTACAAATAATCAAACGAAATATTTGAGCAAGACGATATGCATAAATAATTTATTTCTTGAGACCCAAGTGACCTAAGTTTTCAGGAGAGACAAACCACTTATTTAAATATGTGCTAAGAGCAACTCAGCCTATCGATGAAATTTCTAACACCATAACGACTAAGAGAATAGTGTTAGTTCTTAACTATGTGACCAGTGAAAGCCTGCGTACAGCCATTAATCAGGCATAAATCCCAGAGCTTCCTTGATGTTTATAAATGATTGCATTGCAACTCGAAACTGACATCAACTAAAATTCAAGGCTTAGTTATTTGTCCCAGTCTAACTAGTTTACATCTACTTGACAAGATTCCATGCTGATGTGTGGTGTGTTTGATTTAAAAACTGGCTTATTCTGTGGGAGTTTGGCTCACTAAATTTTCTTACTAAGTATTATTGCTGGGAAATTTGCAAGCCAAAATATTTGCGTAAATTTTACTGACAAAACCAGCATATGCTACAAAAGGTAAAAGAAACCGTTCCAGCTATGAGACACGGTCTCGTTAACAAGCTACTTCCGGGGATTTCTAGTCAGGTCAAATACAACACATTTAAATACTTAAGAAATGGTGAACGGCGTAACAAGAAAATAACTGTGTCAAACTACCAAAAAGAGGTAATGCATTGTACGGGCGAAAGCTACCCGGCCGACAGAAGGCCATGGGAATGCCACAGAGCGATGACGAATTAGATATACACAATCAACAATGAACAACGAATTTATACGGGTTAAGTAGCGTTGATTTATAAGTCCCGTTGGATAGTTGGTAGGGATATCAACATAACAATAATGATAATAAGGATAGTAAAATAGTTAATACTTTAAATATGCAAATAAGGACTTATCGTTTGTTTCGCTGCAGTCCTGCGATCCTCTTAGATTCACAACCTCCATAGTTAGCAACAGATAATTCCATGGTAAACTCCAGGTGTAGGATGGAGACGTAGTGTTAAGTAACAAAGTGTAATTGGATGACTGCATCGTCCAACCGTCTTCTAAATATTGTTAGTGTCAGTGCAGAGACGACCGATTCTGGGAGAGCATTCCACGGGTGACAGACACGAGTGGAAAATAAATCTCTGAGGCACTCCAGACGATTGTATTGTTCTGCGAGTTTTAATGAGTGGCCCCTCAGGTTTGTATTGCTGCTGAGTTGCAGTAAAGGGCGGCACACATGATGTGGGTCTCGCAGAATCAAGTATGCCATAATCAGGTCACCTCGTAGTCTGCGATAGCTTCCATTGAACAATCCCAGTCGTCGCAGCCTCTCCTGGTAGGAAAGATTGCGCATTCCAATTACGTTCTTAGATACCCGGCGTTGTGGCTGCTCCAGTGCATTAAGATCGTGTTTCAGCCACGGATGCCAGGTTTGAATTGCATATTCGACATGGGGGCGAACATCCGCACTGAGCATTTGCTGAAATATGGAGCTGTTTGTTTGTCCAAACGCCCGCCTCAACAGCCCAACGTGTTGGTTCCCGGTCTTCGAGGTCTTTTCGGTTTGACTGGAACAAACCAAGTCATCTTGAACCAGGACACCCAAGTCACGTTCGAGAGTTGATTGTTGCAGTACATCCGTTCCGAGTCGGTATGAGTAGCTGCTTTGATGTCGGATGGAAAGTACCTTGCATTTACTGACGTTGAAATGCAATAAGTTTTGGGTCGGCCATTGATACACCGTATCTAAATCACGCCGAAGCACATGTTGGTCGGTGTTCGTCTGGATCCCGCGCCAGATCTTGATATCTTCGGCAAACATTAAGAAGTTTGAAGCAATTTGCTGTGCAAGGTCATTAATAAAAACCAAAGGCAAACGTGGACCTAGAACTGAGCCTTGCAACACACCGCACTCGACTTGTATGGGGTCCGATAAAGAGCTCCGAACTCTGACCACTAATTGCCGTTGAAATAGAAAGTTGGCGATCCAGCTTAAAAGGGGGTCTCCGATCCCGTAATGCTGCAGCATGGATAGTAGTATCCGATGGTCTAGACGATCGAAAGCCTTGGAAAAATCCAGGTAGATCACATCAACACGCTCTCCAGCGTCAGGTTGTTGAGACGAAGCGTGATCGCCTCCGATATGCAGGGATCTGGCATCTGATGAGTTTGGATTGGACGTTCATCACACGATAGATCGCGCGAAAGTGCTTGGAACTATGAGGCTTAATGTTACTGGTAATAAGGAGAAAATACCTAATGCATCCATCTACGAGCTTTTGCCTTCTCACTGCATTATTCACACGACGGGGCGATAAGTTGGATTAGACGTGCGACCATTGCGACAGTACATGTAGTGCGCAATCAGCTGCTTGGCCACTCTATGGGCTATTCTTGGAGACGTTTAGACAAATGTTTCGTGGTGCGCATTGGAACAGCTAAATTGGTACGCACAGAAAGAGGTAACGTGCATAGAGAGTCTATCATTCGGCTGGAAGTAGAGCATGGACGTATAAATGATGATAAGTGGTAAACGTGTTGCCCCGTAGGTGTTAATGACGATCGCTATTAATCGCTTGCTACGATGGTTTGCAAGAACAAGTAGACAAGTTTCTTCCTCATTGTGGGTGCTCTGATGATTACACAGTCAGTTCGCATATTCAGGTCGATGAAGGCAGCGAGATAACCGTTTTAAAGAAGGCATTTCATTTTATAACTCCCCCTGCTTTAATAGTGTCGTCACAGCATATCTTTATGGCTCTTCCGATAAGAGATTTTACTAGCTACTGTTCTGCCGCGTTGGTGCAAAGCTATCAGAGTGCGTATATTGACCCATCCTTGTCGCTTTCCTGTAGATCCTACGTTACAGCTAACCAGACCGTCAACATGATATTTGAACATTCAGGAAAGCCAGCGCATCGTTTGACTTGGTTTGCATGCAAAAATGAACATTCCTGTGGGCTCGAATGGAGTTCCGTAATAGTCCGACAAAGTCCATGGAGCAGTCAGCTATACACATCACGCCATTGGCTTATCGTTTATGGAGTGACGTATGTTCAGTATTTTTGCTGAACGGACCCTTCTCTAGCTTGGTGAAACACATCAGCGAACAAAAGACCCAAAGTTTACTCCATAACTAGCCGGTCTTTTGTTCGGTATACCAATCCGGCAAAGTGAAATTGATGGTTGTGGGTAAACAATGAGAGGAGTCTTTAGTTCTTCTATCGGTAAGCCAATTTAGTAACCTGTGGGCTCAATGCATCCGGCAAGATAAACGATGGTCTTTTTACCACGGATATTAGTAAGCAAGGAGGTCAGGGCAAACGAACATATCAGCTTGTTTTCCACATTTTGCATTCTAATGCTGTCGCCGAATTGGCAAGTGTCAGGCAACTACTAGATCAATACTTGGATTTGTGTTCGTTCCATTAGCTCAGCTAACCACTTGGTCAATGATTGATACGCTGAGCTACTCATAGTAAGTATAAGTCTAAAAGTGTTAACTATTTATATGTATTGAATAACCTACGCAATCTAAAAACAGTGGTGCCAACGGGACGAATTTTTTCAAGTGTTAGCAAATAAAACAGTAACTTTTGTTTACTTTCATGAGAGAATTCTATTTGGCCATTTTAGTCGTCTAGGATATGACTTTCTCATCAACGTTTCATGCACTTTGATAAAACCACAAGCAATGCACTCAAATTGCGGTAGGGTTCGGTTTTGTGTGCAATAACAATACCCTCACATTTGTCTGGCAGCGTATTGTAATCGCCTCATTTTCCATTAGTGTTTCTAGCTTGTTAAGTGCTCAGTTTTAGTAGCTTTCTAGCTGTCGTTGTGTGAGTCTTTTACTGGCAAAAGGATTAAACCAGAGTCGCCTTATAATTTCCCACCTTTAATTTGATTGTCGACGTCAATTCAACCAACTGTTAGTAAACATTCAAGCTGCTTCCTAGCTCAAGTGATGGTTCGCAGCAACACCAAATTATATGTGAGTTGAAATTCGTCAAGGCTTTAGATTTACTATGGCCATCTGTAGTCCGGAGAGCTTCCGCTTGAAGAAAGTACACCACCTTTTGGCATTCTGACACCTTTATGTTCCAGTTACCAAATCCATCGTTTCTTAATATTTGAACGTGTTGCAATTGACCTGGCTATGAATAATCGAAAATGAACTTGTTTGCAAAACCAACCTTGCGTATAGTCATCCGGCTTAACGTTATAAGCAAATGAGAACACCTCCTCAACTAAGGACAGCCTTCGTGTTTCGACATACGTGTGATTAAGGCGATCGTCGCTGATTGGAATAGCAATGTCTTCTTGGCCGAAATGGCTTCTCCTACTTAAGCAGTTGGCTCTCATTGCGGTATAACCGTTCAAATGCTCTAGCAAAAGCAAAGTTGACTAAAAGCCACATAGCTTATGTGCTTCGTCCACTTATCCAAATATACATCCGCACGGTATGCCTTTTTAATGTTTCCCAAAGTTAGCTTTATTCTGTCAACAACCAAACTAGCATGTTTGCATTGATTGTCCGTACAGGCTGGGTTACAAATCGATGCATTCCAAAATCCTGGCAAATAACCCCCGGTGATTTGCTTGTTTAAACTACAAACAGTAACCTAATGTTAAGATTTGCGGTCAGATTCAGCTGGGGCTTTATTACAATTTTAGTTACTTACAGACTGGAATTTCGATATTTCAGTAGCTAAAGCGCTTGATAATCTTTCTAGAGATGAAACTCATTGATAGTTATTAACAAACGGTGAACATGTGTTATATCGATATGACAGTAAAGCGTCTGCTTCCTATCAAACTATATTCACTTATAACAAGCAACGGTATGCTTTGTAGTATAACAAGTTTTGAAACCTTTAAATTAGTGCGAATACAGGAACACAAGTTAAAAATCAAGAGTTGCTTACTGTCTTTAAATATCATAAGTGGAACAAAATGCTGAAACTTCAGTCAGCATAAACCGATAGATGGAACCGTAACTGATTTCTATTCACAACAATTAAGGTACTGCGTTTGTACTCAGTCTATACTGGACTATGCTTTACAAGGAGGAAGTAGCCCAGAGCCTTCTCATTTTTGAAGTGGGCCTCATTTACCTGATGTTTAAAGAAAAATAAAAGAAACGCAGACTTTACATCTAGAACGACCCTAATCAATTATATTTATCCACAATTGTTTGATGCTGTAATATTTTTGGGTTTCCTGTATGCTGAATTCGATTGTGGATGGGAAATGAAAGCGCATGCTGTGTGCATATTATTTTTATATACACTAACTTTATTTACTATTGCTTCTTTATTACTGCTTTGTTAGTATTACCTTATTATTGTTTTTACTTTATTATTTTGACTTTACCCAGGGATACTGTGGTTATATTTGCCCATTTTCTTCGCTGTATCTAGCCGCTACTTTCCAACTTATATGAGCTATGTGAAAGAACAAGCGAGCAAGAAATTGCGCCTTGATTTTTATGCAATGCTTCATTCATCGTTTTCTAACTTCCATAGATTTATGGCCAAGAGCTCGCTTGTATTTAACTTAACCAAATGGTAGTGAAGCAGTGAAATCTCATTGTTATACCTTATCCGTCGTCAGTTCCTTGGAGAATATCATGGAATCATTAACACCGATTGATGTGATAAACATGAACCAAGGTGTTATTGAACTGACGCTACTAAAATTGAATGAGTGAGTCTAGATGTGACAAATTTCTACCTATAAAAATGCATTTAACGTTGACCTATCAAAAAAATGATCCGTTCCTGATAACATTATGACCACAAATGGGTAAAAGTAAACGTGTAAAAGTATATTTTTGGAATGCCTCGGTACATTAGATACTAACCATAACAATAAACATAGAGAAAGAGGGGCAAGAAATAATACGGCCGTTCACGCAACCGTGGCCCAGGGACCCGCTTCCATGCAGGCTATTCCATGTTCACCTGCACTTCCACGCACCCACTGGCTTGCCCATATCCTAGGGATCTTTCGGGTATATTTGGGATCTTTCGGGATCTTAAGGGTTCACAACCCTTATCTTTGCAGGAGCTCATGGCTCATAATAATCATCTTTCGGGAATATGTCCATAGGACATTATCTGGATCTTTCGGGTATTACGTCCATAGGACGTCAGTTCGATCTTTCGGGCTTCAAATGAAGCTTCATTTCTTAAAGGCAATAAGACCAAAGGTCTTTAAGGCCAATAGGCCAATGCTATCTTTCGGGCAGTATTGCCAGGGGTCTCCTAGCGTGGGTCGACGGTGTTCCGGAAGCTTTCTCCATCACCATGGGTCACGGCGCGATCCAGGCCAACCAAAGGAAGAGTGAATGAAGAGAAGATAAATTGAGTGAGTCTAGATGTGACAAATTTCTACCTATAAAAATGCATTTAACGTTGACCTATCAAAAAATATGATCCGTTCCTGATAACATTATGACCACAAATGGGTGGCCACCAGTTTGTGTTGCCTTGTCTTTAATGTTTAAACGGAGTTCGATGCTGAACTTTTATCACGCTTGTTTCAGTGAGTCGGTGGCGCGCACTTCAACCATTTGATATTGTTATTATGCTTCATGGAATCGATAGACATGATCGTATGACGTAATCCTGCGTCCACCTTTTTATTACAAGTTGGTCCGTACATTATCTGCTAGAATGTCGAATTAACGTATCAAATAAGCATAAGTTGATGCATTCCGTAAAATCAGGTCAGTACATACAAGTGGGAATTAACTTAAATTTTGCTCCCTTTACAAATATACAAGCCGTTTTTTATTCACACCACGGTTCAAAACGATAAGCAGCAAAGTGCTTTATTTCCCTTGAGATTTAAAACATTTGTTCGATGAGTTCGATTTGTAAAAGTGCTTCTTACACAGCTTTTCTTATTTACCATTTTTAAATGTAGTGATAATAACCTGACCATTTGTTCAATATACTGGTTACCAGTACAGTTTTAATGCTTGAAGTGTGCAAAATTTTCCCCTACCAGTCCATTTAGTATACACTGCTGGTTTACTGTTCCGTTTTCTGTCATTGCCCTATAACCATTCTCGCTGACATGTCCACGGAAGTAAATGATGTTATGTCAATACATGGTTTGAAATTTCCGAGAGTTACATACCCAATAATATTGACTTACCATCACAAACGAGTGACATATGGGTGCGGCGGTAGACCGTAGTCCCTTTGCTTCAATAACTGAAACCGTCGAATGCAATGGTGAGAATAATTGGGCAACATAATCGATATAAGGTTTGGTACATGATGATACGGTGGAGGGATTACTGGAGATTTGTCTTTAATCTTACTAATATATTGGAACTATTTTTAATGATCTGTGTATACTAAGCTACAACCAAACTCCCGTGTGTAGTTAAATAGGCCATACGAATCTGCTCAAGGCGGTTAGGTATGTTCAAAATAATGAAAATCCTTAATCTGCACTTATCAGCTAAAGTGTAAATGTGGTAAAAGCACATGAGATAAGCATCTTATCTTCGACATCTGGATAGTATCAAGGGTGATCCGTAGCTACATATAAATATTGCCTGTATAATGGTGCCGTACATAGATCATGTTATCTACGGCTACAAGCATTTAGTCTACAAAAACAAATGTCATTCAAAATGAAGAGATCATCAAGCCGCAAGTGATCTTTAATCAAGGTATTACTTGGATTGATATATACATTTATACGGACATCAAAATAAACCCTAGTATCTTCACTAAAGTCTGTGTTTTTACTGTTTCGCTCATAAATGCAAGGACAGTTACCGCGGACAGAATTACAGCTTTTATTTGAATTTCGCAGGTCGTTATAAAACATTTTGATAACCCTTGTAGTTTAACACACTGGCTTACTAAAACGAAGCGCAACACCTATGGCTAAAGACTTTACAGTAAGTGAAACCAAAGCTAGCAAACACAACTAAAAGATCCGAAGTTAAAGGCGTCTATGTAATACAAAGCCTCTTTGATCCGTCATGACAACGAAGCGATGAGACTGAGTGAATCATGTTTTGTTGTAGTACTTATTTCTTTAACGAATAAAATTGGGTGATAGCGTTACGTCATATGGTTAGCGTACATGGGTCGCGTCCTGGGTACCAAGCGGTTGCTGCTCATAATATTCCACACTCGTTCGTACATTGGATTGAACGATTGGGTGTAGTGATCAATAATTATCCCTGGAATTCATGTACTCTACAACCCTTCCTCGCTTTGGAATGCAGTTTGGAAAATCGGTGTTCAAGACCCAACAACTTTTGTTGCAGGTGTCCACACGTTGGCTCGTCCGTGTAAGCGGAATAATCCCGGAAAGTCACTGACTAGCGATTAACATGCTGATGTTGATGCTACATGTGCTGTTTCATATATTAGTCACAATAATGAGTAGCTATATTTCCAGCTGAACACCGCTCATGCTGAAGTTAGGATAAGTCAGCTATTATCGAGATAAGGTGTGGAAGAGCAAACGTTCATTCTACAATTTAGATTAGAAATGACCAATCATTTAGATTGATTTAAAAGTAGATTAGTCCAACTATGGTGTTACGGTAGTGTTTAAATAAATATTTAATTGGAAAATACCTTCAGCACAGAAACAATTGATTTGTATGCTGACAGTTTGTTAGTAAATTGTAAGTGGTAAAATTATGATGAGAAATCCAGTTCGCATGGGAATATCATACCATTTGCCGAGGTTCTTGATACCCATTATTTGTCTACCCTCATATGATTAACTATGCAACGCTCACTGTTTTCATTGCAAATCACACCATGGGTATGGAGATTTACTGGTTCATTGCTTTCTCAGCCATGTCTAAGTGGTTCCATTCCAAATCCCGTTGTGAAGATATCATCATGCCCAGGTGTGTCACGACATACTCATTTGAGATATTAGATAATTAAATGTTGTGCAAGGTACTTCTTTAAGTTTGCTAAACCAGTTTGCACACTCTTCCAAAAGCCGATGATAGAACAGCGAGCAGCGGACTTTACCACATGTGCATTTAGTACATTCAGTTATGCATCATTCTACCTGGTAACCATACTCACGGCATTTGTTTCCGTATTTCCATATCTGTCTCAATCTATTGTTGATACCCACACTTCCGACTAAACTTAAGGCTGTCGTTTCGGTTCTCATCCAAACGCTAACTAACCACTGACAGTCGTATTGGTTACTTATTACTTACTACGTGCGATTTTCTAAACCTAGAGCAATATGGCTGTTCGTCTTTCATTCAACCAAACTCATGCAGGTACGTTGTACTATGGTTCATGACGGTTATTATTTATTCCTCCAGTTTGTGGTAGTCTATACACAAGTGTGAACAAATGCCCGTTCGCAACACTGCAGTACTGTAACTCGAACCAAGGACCTTTGGTGTGTCAACTGATATCTCACGTTGAATGACTAAGTGGAAGCTATTCAGAAACACTTATAAGCACCACACTTCAGCCTGACAGACTGATGGCATTTTCACTCGCGTAACACCATTATCTGCTGGCTCGATGTCTAAATGGGACTCGCCTAAAGTACAAATCCCGCTAACATCTGTTCGTGTTTCGATACATTCCCACTTGCCAGATGGGGGTTATTACATTTCTCCTCATGTGACACCGGGACTTATTAGGGGCTGCAATATGAAGTCAATGTATCCCATCTCAAGTGTCTCTATACGCCGCATTGTACTGCTGCCGCCTTCAGGTAACCGCACTGAGATTCAGACAAGCCATCTAAGTTGATTCCCGGATCAGCGGCAATGGGTTGTAACATCCGAATCGAAATGCATGGGCATAGATAGTATTCTGGACACTGATGGATTGGTCGAGATTGTTGAGCTGTCCGAATGAATGACCAGGGGGGAAATAAGTAGTAACACATGACGGACTGCTTGGTGGTTCTACCTCCCTGTTGATTCTCGCTCACCTCGGACAACAGACGATTAGAACGGGCTCTGGTTTTACCTTACGACACGGATAGCCTGCAGTGGACATAATCGCACCACTTCCCTGCTAACTTGAAAAGTTGCTTACGCCATCTCCGTCATTCATTTTGGTGTCATCCTCATTCTATATACCGCATTTAAGTCGGGCTTGGTTGCAGTTTCATTATAGAATGATTAACTACTGACTCGGTGCAATGTGGTATCTTTATTGCACCTGCCTAGAACTGATGAGCCACAGGTAATCTAACTTTTTAAGGCTTATTTAACGGTTGTATTTCGCGATGGCTTCACCTGTTGCCCATTACCATATGGTACTCATCATGATCTATGCTATGCTATTCTTGCTACCTCCTCAAGCGGCGTCTAGTATGGTTACATACCGAGAGTGAGCTATGACATCTTCATTTTCGTATTATTATTCGGCCGCGATTCATATCACTATGTCAGCTCCATGGTATTGCTCACCATAACTGTAGCTTGACTAGCTGCTCAATGCTAACTTGCATGATGCTTAGAAAGCCGGTGCATCGCAGAATAATGGTTCAGTCCATCCATGAGCTCATTCGTAATTGATGTGAGTGCGGTATTTCCGAACGATTTGTGTGCTTGCTACGGATCAATGCTAGGGTGGCAAATTATTGCGTATGTTTCCAGTTCGATGGATACGTTTGCATCAAACGGTTATCATCGCTTGGCCGTTTACAGTACGCATAAAATGTCAAATTTGACATTTGTAACACAATGCTCAACGATTGTCCTTCGTGTGACCACTTTGGCTTATGCATTCGAAGAGAAATTTCCCTGAAAAATCTGTGTCAAGTGAACAATCCCGACAATTAACCGACTAGCGTTTATCACGATGTTGCCATTCCATGTTCCACTCCGCAGGCTAATGAAGAGAGTGAGTATAGTTATAGTTCCAGTTATCCCTCAGCCATACTGAATTTATCGGGGCCTATGAAAACACACGTATGAACCGGATGGAAGGCAGACGTGCAGAGACGCCTACCAGAAGTTGCATTGCACATGACCAATCTTTTGAATGGATTAAGTAAAAGGTTGCATCTAACGGGAATGGTATGTCAGTGTGTTATTATATAACATCCGAAATGAACCGGCGCATAGCGACAATGGTTGTATGAGTACCGAATGGGCTGCACCTGGAACCTACGATATAGACCGTTAGGAAATAGCTTATGGCCACAGTAGAGTACAGGTCGATAGGTATAAACAGCTGAGTACTTGGACATTTGCACAATAAATGAGAACACTGTTTGGAAAGTCGCATGTTTGACAGTGGGCAGCGGGACTTAGTTGATGTCACTTGTCAATACCAAAGGTTGCGCATCAATCGTTCTTTGAGTAGGTGCACATGCCTCGGGCAACACATGACCGAACCGGTCGGAGACACAGAGAGCCAGAAATGGACACTGTATCGCATTCGTATGCTGTGGGATCTCCCACATCAGGTACTCAAACCAGACTGTACATGAAGAGGGCAACATCTAAGTGCACACTATTTCACTGTACCAGTAGTCTAGTCATCCTTCTACCTAGCAGTTGCTTTACTATGGCCACATCGGATTGCTTCAAATATGGATGCCCAAGATTTAAGGCTGTCACGTCTAAATGTTGAAGAAAACAGCAGCAGTTCGTATTGGGTAGTTATTGGGTAGTTGGGTAGTTATTCATGCCTGCGAAAGTGATTGTTAGCCTGACCTCCAAACTAAACCCATAAACCTTTGTCGTACCATTGATGCTGATGACTAAAGTGTCTCTATCCAGTTTGTGACAGTTCACACTTAAGTTTGGATAAACGCATGTACATATGTTGCATTCGAACTGCCATTGGACACAGATGACGCCAATCTATGTATATATGTATACCGAATGAATTCCACTAGGTTCTTCATACCGCTTTTCTACGGTTAACTTAGTCCTGTAGAAGGACATTCGAGCAAACCGAAAATAATAGTACCAGAACATGAAGCAGGTGAGTTTATGACAAACTCATGTTGATTTCAGATGTTGCGAATACAAGGCAAATTTGATCGATGCGAATTCCGTGAACTGCTCAAAACGGCGGTTTCTCAGGTGCTTGAGAAGGCACAATTGTATGCGGAATAGAAGCACCGTGAGTATGTTCCCATTCAATTTACTAATCCAGGCCAATATGGCAGCGTATGTGGTACGTTTGCCTGCGTGATGAATAATCTTGCATTTCAGAAGTAGATGTTGCTTGAGCTCCCCTGTGTGGATGCGCCTGATGTGAATGTTGACAAGGTGCCTACCTGTGTATTAAACACTACCTCGTCCATACTGGCTCCAGGATACAGTTGGTCGTCGCTGGAGTGGACGGAGTGCACCGTCCTGGTGGCGGTGCTAGGCTCAAAGAGTGGTTCCATCCTGTGTGCAACGGGCTACGGTCCAGCTACTGCCTCGTGTACGTCTGGTGTGTATGATTTCTTAATTAGGCCGGAATGCTTCCGTTCTGCTTGCTGAAGGAGTGTGGGCCGGCTCCGTTGATGAAACGTGGCTCCCATCCGCATGCCTCCCGGTCTTATTCCTTCGGGTTTACACCGGATATGGGGTGTGTGGGTGGAACTATGGGTGGTGCAGCGCAAGCCACCCATGGTCCCCTTTGTAGGCGCAGGCGTCCTGTGACTGTCCCCATGGACGTTACAATGACAGGCAAGTCCGGATACGGACGCCGCCAAATCATATGGTCTTACACGTGAATGTTGATTAGGCTGATTTTAAACGCTGACTAATATTTCTATGATTTTCATTGGGCTGAATTAACGCTGGCAGATTTCAATCACTTTTGCGGAACTCAATATTGTCAAAAGCCTAAGAATAACTCTCAATACATATGTTCTATATATACGCTTCCTGAATTGTACAGTTAGGAAGTGCCATGGAATTTGGATGAAACCAAACTGCAACCGTTAACCTTGTGCCTTATAAACTGGATGACTATCTGTGATTCATTCATTTGAATACGAAGTTTCCTTTTGGTGTCGCTCATATAAATGAAGTGAGACAAAAGCGTCCTAGATATCCTTTGCAAAATGGATGTCAACGACCAAGCTACCAAGCGTTAGATTGTAGAAAATCGAGCTGTTTTTCTCTTAATCCTCTTTTAACCGTTGACCCCTATTGTAAGGACATAATGGGGGATGTAACTATTAGAATTACCCTAATCACCAAGAACTACAAATACCCATTATAATTATTGACGACTAACTGCGCCTAGTCAACGGAAGTCTTAATGGTTTACAACAGGGTGACAAGCCAGTTACCAAATGAATATATTACGGTATCGAAAATTCGTTTATCAAAAACTGATGATTTCACCTGCATTCTGAAGGACCAGTTGTCACCCTTTATAATAATAAACAATTAAGGAAAAAATGGACTGCCATTTTACTAACTAAATTTATGTCAAGGATACACCTAGTTTAAAGCTAAACCAAAATATAGAATGGAAGCAAACCTTTGTTCTGCAAAGCGGCTGGTCAATTTACGGCATAGATTTAACTTGTGACCACTAACTAATTAAAATCAGTGGTCACTTCAAAACAACGATTCGAACAAATCAAAACTAAGGTTTCATTTGCGTGGAAATGGTTTAATTAACCACAATTTACTGGTTTGGAAACTTTTATGAGATTTATACTTCAACCTACTTGTAAATCACTTCGGACGGCATCTGTTTGTACAGCCTATGTAGCAAACTATTTCAGAGTAAAAGTACACAACTCACCATCCAAACGAATGTTATCCTTGTGACATTCAATGTTTATCCGTAGTTTCCCTTGGTAAGATAAGAAAGCGGCGAAATGGAAATTTGGGTTGAATAGAAATCGTTTATGGGACGTTTATTAAATCAAGTAAATGCTAACGCATTGTTAGTATGCGAAAGGACTAAGGATGAGTCTTATGAACCATGGTTTGTTGGGAATAGGTGAACCGGGAACGAGGATATATATTCGTTGGTCCACCAATCGATGTATACAATGTTCGGCTTTCCTGTTTCAACAGTAACCATAGAGTTTTTTGGGTGCACTTAATCTTGCATTGCTTTGGATAGATTCGCATTTGAAAATTACTCGCAGTGGTGAGTAAGCTATGCTATCCATCAGCGGAATGACCTGTTTACCTTAGCTGAGAAATATGTAATGTAACCAAAAAAGAGCAAAGAATGACTGTTGATCGGATGCTTCAAACATTAGAGGTGAGCTGTGGGAATGTTCCTGTGCACATCGTTCCTTCATCACTAATCGGGTCGATTGGTACATTCGGCTAATTTGCCCTCGTTTGGTTTAACCACTGTGCGCGGTTTCTATGGCCTAAAACCAATTAGACTAATTGGTAAGGTGGGGTGACAACGATCTAGTGAACTTGATTAGAGTTAATAGTCGCATGATTCCATATGAGTGCAATGTATACACAAAGTATAGTATTAAGTATCAGTAACTCCTATTCTGCTGTGCAGCATCGCTGTTTATTCGGTGAATTGTGTGCGCCGGCAGCATTGAGCTTTTTGGCGCGAGCAGCCGATCGACGATGATTACAACTTTATTTTCCGACTCCTAGTTTATACCAGTTTGATGTTAACTTAGAAAAACTGATGGTTGAATCTAGTTTAAATTGATTGCCTCTCTGATGTTCCGTGTTGTTTTAATAAACCGCGGTAAGTGATGTGTGTTATGCAGAAGAAATAATACACAGCTAAAGATATCACTGAGTAGACTTACTCGTGGGCTAGACAGGTTGCATTTTTGACACTGTCTTATTTAACTTGAAATCATTTTGGTATGACTTAAAGGAAATTCTGATCTGACTACTTAATAAACGTGTTCGCAGTTATGTTACAGGAGAGGATGAGGGATAGTTAAATAGCCTCATATAAAATCATGATAATTTTATTAACAAGCTTTGCGATAATCACTATCTAAAAGCTAATCAAACGTGTCCAAATATTAAATACCGGAGAAGTGATATGAAGTAAGACTTAAAGAAAAGCCTGACAGGTATGTGAACTGAAGCGGATGGGTAAGTAGGTTGGCACCTAGTGTTCGATTCAACTAAAACCTTGTGTACAATAGCTAGAGTCTGAAGAACTTCTCTAGGTGAAGAGCCAGATGTCTCACACATGATGTGAAAATCGCAATCATATTGTAGTGTAACGTCGCAAGAAAATTGTTTGCAAGTGCAAAATAATCCGGGTCCAGGTGTACTAGACAATATTTGTGAGAAAATCTTATAAAAATTTAAAGACTAATTGAATTCCCCATGCCACCTGACAGTCGTTTCCTCCTCAAAATTTGACTGATTTCTTCTATTTAGCTCACAATAGCTTTTTAGTGTGCATTTGTAAAGATAATTAAAAAATATTCCAACATCCATATTAAAATTCAGGCGTACAAATCACTTCAGCCAAATGTACTTGCAAATTCTGATTGAGAAATTTTTGAAATCTGAAATCGCGTCAAAGAGGATAACTGATTGTAAGCAGCTCAATAGTTAGCACGATAGCTGTACGTGACGAGGAAAAACTAAGGTGGCTACTTCAAAATTGAATTACATTGTGTATTATAACATCCAGGTAACATTATCCTCTGTTTCTGTAGAATCTAGCCATACCAACGTTTGAACTAATTTCTTATAAAAGTGGATAACATTCCCCAGAAATACTTACGAATATGGCCCTGAGAACACTAGTTAAATTATGAACTAAAATATGCTTGTGATATTTCATAAAATATTGTTGTTACTCACCTTTACAGTTCGCAAGAACGCTGATTGGAGATCTCAGCATTTTCCTTGTACATCGATCTGAATGTGTCGACACTGTATAATACCTATGGTACCATGGGTCCGGGGAGGTGTCTTCAAAGTTTGAACGATCAGTGATACAGCCATTTGGAGCAACTGGAAGACATTTTACAGCTGCTATTCCAGTAGAGCTGGAATCAGTTACTTCCGCCGTTTGTCGAGCGATGGACGTTAACATTAATTGGTGGTGTGAACGAGATCGCGGTTGTTTTATGTGTGGTACAGTATCTACTTTTGCATCGTCTGTCATAGTTTGATTCGGCATTTGACTGATCAGTGGTGTGGATATTATACGTTTTAAAAATGTCATGTGATCGATATGTCGATACGGTTCAGATCCGTAAGACTTTTGGTCCTCTGACGTTAGTATGGCGTTTGATTGCTCAAAGCCATGCGGTGAAGCATGTGTGCGCTTAAGATAGAGGTCAACAGAAACTGCTCGGCGTGTATCACATCCTTTGCTAGCACTGTTTCGAATGAGTTTATCCTTTGCATTTTCGATACGACTAAAACATGTGGAATTTGACTTCACACAGGTTTTAGGTGGCTCAGCGCAATTTGATTTTGATTTTAATGATGTGTTTTCACATACATCCGTATCTCGTATGGAAGAGCTATTAGTACGTCGTTTGTTGTATTGACTTCGGGCAACACGTCGTCTGAAGTGACATTTTCCGTGAGTTCGCGTACTGACGCCTGTTTCACTCTTTGTAGTTGAGTGATACAAAAAGCCATCAGAAGCGTGGTAAGGCGAGATCGCAATAAGTGAAACTGCTTTGGACGCTGGTGCCTGAGTAATTTCCACCGGTTCTGTGATAATCCGAATAGGTGCGGTGGTTGTTATCACACATAATGAGTTATTATACCCGACGCAGTGATCTGCGATTTGAATGCTGCTCTCTGGAGTGAGCTGAGTGTGACGAGCAAACAACTTTGGAGAGCAAATAGCTTGTGGCAGTGAGACTGAGCGACAATTGGTCATAGGGCGATGGAAGCAAGGCGTCTCTCCCGTTCCTATTTGATTGGTTGTCTTTTGCGCTCGGCTTGTGTGCCAAGCATCTGAGGATTACAGAAAAGTGAGCAACTCAGTTATCAACTGCGTGCATGTCTCGAAAACACAAAGTCTTCCATAAACCACATTTGATTGTTTTATCTTGTCTTAAAATGGGAAAAAGAGCTTAATAGTAAATTATGGCACTTTACCTTGAGCTAGCATTCACCTGCAGGTTTGGGATTACATCTAGTATCTTCACTTAACAGGATACGGGTCAGATATTTCCCTGTACATAGGTTTACTCAGGCTGAACTGACGCTTGATATAAGTAACTATTTACGTTTTGCCACGAAACGTTTGTGTTGCAAAGAGCGTGCACAGTAACACACGTGCAAGTTGTGAGGCTTGTAGTTTCTTACCACGGCAATCTCGAATATGAAAAGAAAACGAGGCGTAATTTCCACTGGAGAAAGCGACGTTGCTATAGCTGGTACCGTGGTCGCGTTTGCTCCAACATACACTGATGGCTTGTATGAGCAATATCTGTGAAAAATAAAACCAAAAAATTAATCACCGAGATAAATAAAATGAAACAACTGAGCAATGGTGTTGCACGTATCAAAAAGTTAAATTGCCACGCTGCATCGGACATGTTAAATGAAACATGCCGATTGAAATAACTGAAGGTCTCAATCGAGGTCGAACATCCATCCGTGAGTTTACCATGCCATCGCCATTAAGGCAAATGCTGATCTACCTACCACGGTTTCATGAGGTCTTGAACCCATTATTTATTTGGCATTTGTCGTAAACCAATAGACGCGACCATGCCATAATACAGCTGGTGTATTCCAGTGCCTAGTCATGGTTTGATTGCTGGATGAACGTTCCACGATTAGCAGACTGCAAAAACCTTCCTGAGGTCATCCAATCGGTCTTACTTCACTTCCATATTAAGCTAAGATTCTTTTGACCTCCGCTTATGACTGCATTGCAGATGGTGTTAAATGTAACTTGGGTCTCCCAAAAGCTGATAACTCAGATTCTGATTACCCTCAAAAGACGACGTATTTAACTATACATTCCTAGAAATTTTATTTGCAGCTGGTCGGTTGGACGGAACAGGCTCATTACCTTTTTTGTTGCTGTTCACTGTGGAATATTGCATGTTGACAGCTCTTGCCCATGTCAGGTTTGCCGGCCATAGTTTGCCTACACCCCATGCTGCAAAGTTTTCAGGTTGAGTATTTGCAAAAAAAGCAATGGTCAAACCACCCAAATACTCTTGGTAACAAAGAAACTTCAGGGTTCCTAGTTTCAGAGATCGTCACGACTTCTTCAAATAACCATGAGCATCCTGAGTAAGTGATTTGCAACCACAACACTTTCGCGTTTTTCAATTACACGGGAGTACTTTTTTTATCTCCAATTTACTAATTTGTCGTATTTTCGGAGCCACTTGAGTGAACTTATTTCGTTTGGATCACGATTCCAATGATCCTAGCTGCTTTCACAGCTCATAACAGCTAAGCTACTTTAACAATTATGACACTTTGTTTGATAAATCTGTCTTTGAACTGCTCAATAAGCCCAAATCCACTCATATACTACGCTACCCAAAACAGCCTCGGAACAATTTGTGAGCCGTTGTTTTCCCCCATTGTATACAGTTTTTCGCATTATTCTTCTTTTTCCTGCTTATTCAGCAAGACAAACACTGACTGACTAGCATACCATTTTCATTTTCCAGCGAGTACCCTTGCAGGCAGACGACCATATTGGGACCAATTCCAAGATTGGACATAGGATTGCTGCGGCAGGTCACAGTGAACCTCACAGTCGTTACTTGCTTAGGAATGCACAGCCAACAGTCCAAGTATTATGCTTTTTGGCATGTGCCGTTTAGAGATATACATTAAAGTTATGAGATGAGGATCAAATGTTCTACCAGCATTATATCACTTCATCATAAACGTGCGGGGAAATCCGCACAAGAAGAAAGGTAGCATGACAAAATATCTGACACCGTCTGATTTTACCCAACAATTCGTGTCATTCCAGCTGCATTTTCTATGTACTCAATAAGAACTATGATAAGTTAAGTGAGACAATGGAGCAGTTGGCGAAAAGTAAGCTTGCATGCCTGAAAGTTAATGTGGCCTTACTCATTCCGCTTAAAGCCGACTTAATCTCTGACTTCAGGCCCAGGTAGTGAGCCGGACGCTCCAACAGCACTGCAACTTCCGTGCCTTCAAAGCAACAAGTCTACCTCGAAAGGAGGTAGGCTTGTTGCTTTAGCGGACAAGCAGCGAGCATACGTAACTGCACTCTTTTCAGTGGTGCAATCTTGAGACAGACCCAATCCATCATGGAAACAGCCGTGAATCGGTTGCTATCGACAGTCAAACATACGGCAAACATCAAAGCTTAAGACGGCCCCAAAAGGATATCAAGCGGTAAGGACTCTACACATAACAGCTGGTGGCTGAACCCTCAAATGTTGGCACAGTCTCCAGTATTGGTACCGTATCTGATAACTCCCAATTGGTTACCGAATAACTGTATTGTCTGTAGACCAACGTACAATACCTGGTCAGCAAACCCACTGGAATTCGATATATTGTGGTTAAGAGCCTAGATATAAAATAATGATCACTAAGCTTTGTGTGAGATGTGAGATCACGGACGTTACAATCACTTAAACCAGTATGTCGCCTCACCGAATCGACAAAAAGGGTGTAAGAGAATCAATTATTCACCATGAAGCGAACATTCCCTGTGAACTCCTAGTCGATTAATAAAACACATGAATAATTTTCCTTGATGCACGTGATGCCTGAAGGTCTACGACATATGTCTAGTGTCCATAGTCCGCTGGCCTCCAAAATCCACCCTGCAAATCGACGACCGAAGAAAAGCAGCTCTACGTATTGCTATGAATCAGAAGCACAACCATATCCCTGTTAAAAGATGCCTCGAAATCCATGCTTAGGAAAATGTAGCAGTCGAGAATAAACGGTGTAAACTTAACTGAAAAAGGCAATCTTCAACACGCCATTGCACAATCGCAACGTGTAATTTTGCCACTGGCTGGTGGGTATACACAAACAGCGAAAAGATGAAAACGCTTTACAGATACGTCGCTAACAAACAATGCAAGAAACAATAAATTCAAAAACAGGTATCGTCTATTACTTCACTAACAGGTTTAATCGACGCTCTATTCACTGCAGAAACAAAGCTAAGGTAGCAGGTATTCTTATGTAATTTGTTAGGTCCTTATCACCTTTTCAATCCACTTTTGTGAAAGTGCCTTCGCAGTTGACCTGACCCACGGCAAGGCTTAATCAGCGCATGTGATCCTCACGGAACTACCATAAAGGCATTTGACCAACCATAATCACGCCGTCGTGCCAAAGCACGTGACGACCATATGCGATTGTGAATGCACTTTCTCTCACCTACATTCCCGACGCGGCTACAATTATGTAACATCAAGACGCAGCACACACAACTGAAGGACCGGACAACGTTTCCACTCACGTGCCCCAGGCTCGACGCGGACGTGGTTGCAACTGCAGCGTAATCTGAATTGGACTCACAGCCATCATGTAAACACATAAGACTTGTATGTATGATTAGTACTGCAATATTAGCCTTTATGTTAGTATCTAGCCTTCTGATTTTGTCTACTCCATTAAAGCGGCATTAAGACACACAGGGCCATCCTGGAGGGGATAACTCTTCGGAAAGCTCAGCAAGAAGCAGTCAGGTACCTAGACAAACGGCTTGCTAAACTACTTTCTCGACGTCTGGTTTAGGTTTGACAAAGTAGAGAGGAAGTAGACATAAGCGTGCAAACCGCCACTTGGTAATGCTTCTCGCTGTGCTGGCCTACGTTGTGATAGCAATCACTACAGACGCATTGGCATGTGTAGTGTATGTGAAATATTTCATCTTTCCGTATTTCGCGCCTTTGTATTTTCTTGTTCATTGTACCTTCCGATTGTTGACTCGTTTCACTGACCGTTCATTCCATATACTTGCTCTCTTCCCGTGAGTTATGCTGTTACGCACATGCCTGATGTGGTTTGCCGGCTCTAAACATCGTAGATGTTTTAATACACGTTGGGTCCAGCTTACCGAATGTTTGTCCTTACTTGCCTGCATGAGTGCCTCTTGTGTCATCGTTTAAATAAACCAATAAATGAAGTTTTTATTCGCGGCAATGTGAGACACGCCTTCACAAGCGTGATCACTGTGAGATAACCGAATGTGATCAAAACTCTGGCTACCATAACAATGAATGTTTATGTATGGGTGTATATACGCAGGTAATTGTGTGTGCCGGCGGGAGAGCCTATGGTGCGCTGAGGCTGGTGGTGGCTAGATCCTGACAGATGGTCTACCCACTGCTGCTGCTGTTGCGCCGTTTGCTCATGTCCTGGGCGCCTCCTCGTGGCGACCGCTGAGTGGGAGTTGGGTTTCGCCCTTCTTCCTGCTAAGATCCAGGACACCAATCCGCATGAGTCAGCTAACTGACCATGTGCTAGACCCGCTGCCTTTCGGGTGTTCATTTAATCGAAGGCTTTGGCTGAGGACCCGAGTCGTTCTCCTGTCAGGTGTGGGCGCCCTGGCAGTATCCTAGTCCATCCTCTTCGAAGGTTAGGAAGTGGTCGATGACCCTCTTCCCGTTAAACCTAGTCATGGGAGACAACAGGTCTACGGGTTATAAGATCACAGCTCGATTGGCATAGAGCACGAGTGCCACGCGTTTTCTCTGACGGTGGGAGGACACCTCCGGGTGTTCAATGGTTTGCTACTGCCCGCCTCAAGCCAGGCTGCCCCTGGTCAAATTGGTGCAAACCCGCCAAAAACCCACCTGCGTCTGGCCGTGGTCGCAGGTGTGTATCCAATTACGGTCGCAAAACATACGATAATTGTTCCAGTACCTCAAAGGCTGCATGTAACGGCCGTCAAGCAGATCC